AGCTAAAGTACAACTAGGTATAAACTTATAATATAAAAATACAAATTAAAATGGTACTTGCAATTGCACTAGAGTCTGGTATATGTTGTTGACAAGATCAGGAGTATAACTAGATTTAAATTGACAAAATAAAATTCACAAATTAAAGTACCAAAAGTAAAAAATAACAATGGTTATAATATGATAGTAAGATGGCAGACAGGTACACAGGTACACAAGTACACAGGTACACAGGTACACAGGTACACAGGTACACAGGTACAAAGGATAATATAAAGGTTGGAGTTGAATATACAAACTTGAAAATTTGGCAACAAAATGTTATGAAAAGTATAAAATAATGATTAATGTACAAAAGTAAAATTGACTGGTAGTAAATATGGTGTTTAATAAAATTTTAGTAAGTAATAATGATTACTTGAGTCCTGGAGATGGGAAGTACAGTGCCTGCACTCTGAAGGAGGGGTGTTAATGTTGCAGTTTAAAAACTGTAGTGTAAAGCACCCTTCTGGCAAGACAGTGATGGAGTGAATGATGGTGAAAGTTTTTCTTTTTCGGGCCACCCTGCCTTGGTGGGAATCGGCCAGTGTGATAATAATAATAAAAAATAATGATTACAAAAAAAGATTAATTAGCAAAAAAAAAAAAAAAGTGAAAAAGTAATGTTTATTTCAAGTATTAAATTTTAAGAACAGTTAATTGGATTCAATATTGCACTGGTAGTTATACTAGAGGTTATTTGGCAGTACAAGGTAATTAGGAGTGCTCTAAGATAGTAAATGTGGTATTAAAACAGGTTATGGTAATTAGACAAGTAATGGTAATTAAATGATGTCAAAAATGTTAAGAGTAAATTGTATTGATAGTAAAAATAGTAATTATTAATTTTAGTAAGTAATATCAATTAATAGTATTTAAAAAAATATGAGGTAGTAATATGAACAGAGAAAGTATCAATTCAGCTAATATTTAAGCAAACAATAGTAAATAAGAAAATTACATAAGGTGACTTATGCTCACTAGTAAAATCACATAATGAGGTAGTTTTATTATTTAAAATTTCTAAGAGATTGTACTATTAAATTTTTAACAATAATGGAAACAAAACATACACTACACTACGTAGGCTTTTAGGTTGGACATTGTTTAGTTATTCTCTGTAAGATAAGTATTCCTGAGAAATCGTGATAGATCATTCTCATTCGTGATTGTGTACAGTTGAACTCCATTCGTTTTCCTAACTAGAATTTTCCCATCCCGTGTGAAGCATTGGTGTATTGTGTCATTATTCTCCCGCTTAAGTTTTCTGACTCTATACAGGAGGTTCTGACGTTTTTTGGTAAGACACTCTTTATGTATACCTCTTTCTTTACTAAAAGATGCAATTATTAAGTCTTTTTTCTGTCATGTGAGTGGAATCTAAGCATAACACTTTTTCTACCATGGGATCCTAGTAACCTGGCTTCCTTTATTTCTGACTCTGGTACTGTAACTTTTGCTTGGTCCTTTATGATCTGGAGAGTAATTTCTTTACTGTTTGTTTGGTTCATATCACTGGAAAAAGTGGACTGTTAACATTACTGCGTCCGATAGTTTTTTCTTGTTCAAATTTTTTCTTCTTGGAGAGCAAAGTAGTCACTGAAACTGGTTATCGAAGTTGTTCTTCCATTCGTTTACTGCTTTTTTCAACCTTTGTATTAAGAGATATTATTTGTTCTGCATTGCTATCTATGACTGTTTGGATGGTCTTGCCACAGTTAGTCATTCCTGGTGTTGATAACTTTTGTTCAAGACTGAGGATTTTGTTATCGAGTTTTTGTCATCCGGTGTCTTGTTTTGTTAGCGTCTCTCGAAGATTCATATTTTCAATAACTAAGGTGGAGATGCATGACTTAGGGTATCTGGATCGTTGGTCATACCTGAGAGACTACTTGGTAGGTTGAATCCGGGGAGAGAGGGTGGATGAGCTGGTGGCAGCCATGTTTGTTGTTATTGTTGTGGTGTCGCCCTGAGCGGTGGTGAGAGGGGTGGTAGCTGGGCCGGCGTCCTCCTGGCTACACTTGTTGAATAGTTGATTTTTTGGTGTTTTCTTGCTGGCCTTGGTGCTGTTTCCTCTGAGATTGCGCCTCATAATACTACAGGAATTGTTGTAGTTAAGAAGTTGTAGTTATACAAAGCTTAGGGTTACGTTGTTCGGCTGGCAGTGGGGTGTTGCTTTGGGTTTGATCTCTATTATTTTCGATTTGCAGGTTTCACTGTTGGTAATCTTTGGTCATTTTGGGTGCTACGTTGGGTAGTGCAGTTTTGCTTGTAACTAGGTCATCATAGGAGCATTGGTGGCTCTGATAGTTGGAGAAAAGTACGGAGCTTGGAGGTCGCTGCTGTTGCTGCCACTGGGTGAAGTTTATTTATTCTACTGTGGGGTGTATTTATCATCTTTATACGTTATGCATCTTGTTTATTATATAATTTTGAAAAAACATCATAGACGGACTAATGAAAATGTGTATATTAACTTAATATACGACATTTAAATGAGACTCAGTGATTATTATTATCATTACTAATATGACGTCTCTAGATATAAGACACTCTTATTGATTTTAATGTGTACCTGCATGCCAGCACAGTGTGTAAGTTTATTTAGGTACAGGTATACACAAGTATAATTATCAGAGTATATATAAAATATGAAATAACTTTTAAAAACACTTGAAATTTTGGAGTTTCCAGACATAATGAAGAGACTTAGTGCTTATGGATCTCACAGAGAATGTAAACAAACTGGGTTGGGCGCGGTGACCGTATTCGAAAGTCAGGTGGGGGGAGCCGTATAACGAGTTTTGGTCATAATTTGAAATGACTGTATTAGTGGAACGCCGTAAAGCGGGGCCCTACTGCACGTCCGAAACACTGGCTTGTAAGACGTATATATACGATCGAAACAGTCAAAGGGTTAATATTGCAAAATTAACTGATGGTTTTTGTTATACCGTGTCTCATTTTCATATAAGATTCGTCATCCTGACTGGTCAAAGACCAGGTCATAGTTAGTGAATGGAGGGAGGAACTTCCACCACCCCCTTTATGCTGAGGGTCCCACATGAGTTTAGCATTTTATAAGATACAGTCAGTCATTGTCTTATACTGTAGAGTACTGTACTGTATTTTCTTCTAAAGTTTCCACAACTCTGTATGAATATAAGTGATTTTGTGATACATGGTGTAGCAACTACGGTCCACTTGTTACTTGAAGTCACTACTAGTGTTGGCTCCCTTAATATTATTCTCTTTCTCACTTTTTACTTTTTTTCATATGGTTCAGATATTCTGTTTTGTTAAGTAATTTGGCCCAAGTTGTAATATATGTAACTCCAGATTAATGGTTTTTTTTTTTTCATGTATGGGTCTTATGTCCTCTTAGCACTCATTAACATTGTAATGTTCTATCACTCTGTCAACTACATCTGTAGTTTAATACTAGACAGATGTAGAAAAAATTATGTTAATTGAAGAGCTTGCAATGTGAATTTCAGAATTCATATGCTTACAAAAATTTTTGGGGAGTACAGTGGACCCCCGGTTAACGATATTTTTTCACTCCATAAGTATGTTCAGGTGCCAGTACTGACCGAATTTATTTCCATAAGGAATATTGTGAAGTAGATTAGTCCATTTCAGACCCTCAAACATACACGTACAAACGCACTTACATAAATACACTAACATAATTGGTCGCATTCGGAGGTAATCGTTATGCGGGGGTCCACTGTATTAGTAAGACAGGAGTGACTGTTGCAGCTCATTAGTGGCTGTTTTGAAACCTCATTCATTCACTGATAATTTATTAAGTTTTCATAATGTATGTACAGGTTGTGCATTATATTTCATACACATGTATCTTAGTCCCAGCTTTGAGCTGGATAGTTTCACATAGTACAATTTGGACTATTCTTCCCAAGCTTGATTTTAAACATAAGATAGTTTTTAATTTTTCTCTTATGTACTAACATGTAAGATGATACTAAGTGCAGGGAGCAGGGACGACTTTATTATTACAATGTTCCATTTTGGTGGAAGCTGTAGCAAGTACAGTGGTACCCTGAGTTTTGGCCATATTTCGTTCCAGAAGGCTGTTAGAGTGCAGTTGCCAAAAGAATTTGTTCCCATAAGGAATAATGTAAATTAGATTAGTCCATTTCAGACCCCTAAAAGTACACTTAGAATAATACACTTACATAATTGTTTGAGTTGGGAGCTGTACAAAACTCGGGGGTACCACTGTACACAGAAAACATGAGAACGATATTTCTTTATAGATGAGATAGGTGCAACAGTTTGGTATCTTTATTGATGGAACATTTACTCACCATCTTAGTACCCTCAGTAATCATCTTACCATCTTAGTACCTTCAGTAATCATCTTACTCACCATCTTAGTACCATCACCCTGGGCACATCTTTTACCTACCATACTGTCCCTCACTCGCTAATATTATTATATTTAAGAAAACACTCAATCCATACTGGTCATACAGTTCCTGGAGGAATGGAAAGCAATCAGATTTGATCCAAGGAAAGTAAGAACAGATCCAGTTCCTTGCATCAAGAGCCTCACCCCCCTAACCTCCCCTCACCTGCCCTCACTTCTATGCACCATCTCATTCACTATTTTTTCTTCATTACCTCATATACGTACTTATTAAAATTATTCCTCTCTTCTCTTACCTTCTCATTCTACATTTTATCTCATGTTTTTATCCTCGTTGCTGCATTCCTCCACTGACATAAATCTCTTGTTTTTTCCACTGTGCTTTAGTTTGTCCGAAATGCTCTGCATAATTATGGGTTTTCTGCATGCACAACTAAATGTCACCCATCTCTGTACAAACATTGTATCATGCTGAAATAAAATTATTAGAATTATTATTATTATTATATAATCTCACTCCACTGGCTGGTGCATGAGCTAACATACCTTGCACGGCTCTCCCTGGCAGGCAGGACCTGGAGGTGGACACAAGCAGCAGTGTGTTCGAGGGCAGTGAGTGTTCATCGTCACTGCCTCGCTCTCCAACTGACGCCACTCACCACCATGACTTTGATCGGTCAGTTATATGGTAAAATTTTGACACTTTTTTACTCTAGGCTATACCATTATTTACAGTGGACCCCCGCCTTATGATATTAATCTGTTCCTGAGAGCCGAAATTACCGTTAGCCGAATTAATTTTCCCACTAAGAAGTAATGGAAATCAAATTAATCCGTTCCTGACACCCCAAAGTATGAAAAAAAAAAAATTTTTACCACATGAAATATTAATTTTAATACACACAAACTGAAGAAGACATGCACAATTACTATTCTACTAAGAATAGAATACATGACACTTACCTTTATTGAAGATCTGATGATGATTGATGGGATGGGAGGAGGGGAGAGTGTGGAAGTTATTGTTTAGAAGGGAATCCCCTTCCATTAGGACTTGAGGTAGCAAGTCCTTTTCCGGGGTTACTTCCCTTCTTCTTTTAATGCCACTAGGACCAGCTTGAGAGTCACTGGACCTCTGCTGCACAACAAATTTGTCCATAGAGCTCTGTACCTCCTGTTCCTTTAAGATGTTCCTAAAATGGGCCATAACACTGTCATTGTACAGGTTGCCAACACGGCTTGCAGTAGCTGTGTCAGGGTGATTTTCATCTGTAAAGGTTTGCAGTTCAACCCATTTCCACACATTTCCTTAATCTCTTTTTTCAATTCCATACTATTTCTCACCCTTTTTACCACAGGGATGGCACTAGAAGCTTTCTTGGGGTCCATGGTGACTTATTTTGCAGTTACAAGCAGTAAAAACACTGCGATAATGTGAAATGTACCGGATGTATGCGTAGATGCGACCGCACTGGCTGGCTTGTAAACACTGGCGCTGAGGCCACACATGGGACGCATCCCAGATGAATCATGTAAGGCGAGTTTTTTATCGTGAGGCGAGGCAAAATTTTTGCTTTCAAATGCTTCGTATGGCGGATTTAACGTAACGCGGGGGTCCACTGTATTTACTGATACAGATTTTAATTCCCCAATTATTTTTTAATTTAAATCTTTTAAAATTTCTTGCTTTTAAATATGGAAGTCAAATATAAATTACAGTATTAGATTTGAAGTCTTTATCCAAAAACATTGTAAATTATGTTATGCATAATTTTGAGAATATGTCGGAAAATTGTAGATATGCAGTACAGTGGTACCTCAAGTTTCGTACAGCTCCCAACTCCAACAATTATTTAACCCTTTGAGGGTTTTGGTCATACTAGTACGTCTTACGCGTAGGGGTTTTTGACGTACTAGTACGCATAAATTCTAGCGGCCTCAAATCTCGCAGGAAAAGGCTGATAAGCCTAGATGTGAGAGAATGGGTCTGTGTGGTGGGTGTGCGCAGTAGGAAAAAAATCTGGGACCCAGTGGTGCATTGTGGGAATGCCATCATAGTACACAATTTCCACCTTGCCCTGCGGTAAGAAGTTCCTCACTCCTCGGCGAATTGGGACACTTTTGTTCCCCAGTGACAGTTCTAATACAGATGGAAGTGACAGTGAAGATGAGTTTCAAGGTTCTGGTGAGGTTTTGACCAAAACTATTGACCATAATATGGGTAATAGTGAGGAAAACCCAGACAACCCACAGCCTTCCACCTCTGGTGCTGGGCCGTCTTGTTCACGTTCAGTTGTACCAGAATCAAAGAGGAAACTCCTATTTTCCAAAATCCCAGACTCAGATGTGAGCATTGGTGATGATAGTGATAGTGATTATGAACTACACGCTCTTCAAACTTGTTAAAAGAATGGAGGAGGAGGAGGAGGCAGAGGAGGAGGAGGCAGAGGAGGAGGAGGCAAGAGGAGGAGGAGGCAAGAGGGGAGGAGGAAAGGGGAGGAGGAGGAGGCAGAGGAGGAGGAGGAGGAGGAGGAAGAAGAAGAGGAGGAGGAGGAGGAGGAAGAAGAGGAGGAGGAGGAGGAGGAGGAAGAAGAAGAATAGTAATGATAACAAAATACATAATAATAATAATACATAATAATAATACATAATAATAATAATAGGTAATAATAATAATATGTAATAATAAATGTTCACCCATGACAGTAACAAGATAAGGGGAGATAACATCTGATAAGTGCTGAGTTTAAATGAGGGTAAAATGAGGGTAGAGCTGATACCAAAAGATGAGATGAACATCGCCCTCCCTTTGTTTTTGCTGGTATACTAACATTTCTGTCTGTCTATTTGCCTGTCTGTTAAGCTCCCTGTCTATCCGTCTAGCTCTCTGTCTCAGAGAGGCACAAGACTGCGTCATCACTTTTACTCACATCTTCAAGCAGATTTATAGAAACTTTGTCTGGGTTTTCTTGGGTTATCCTAGGTAATTTATACTATGTATACTTGTATTTATGTGTACCTGTGAGACAGAATAAAACAAACAGATAGAATGAGGGGAAAGATAATTAGATAGAATGGAGGAAGGGAAGCAGCATCCGACCCCATTGTTTTGACAGGCGGGGAGGGGGAGTGAGTAATGAGACAATATGTCATTTTGACAGCTGCCGACTCCTGGAAATTTTTACACTATGGAGGAGGAGGAGAAGGGAAGGAGGAAGAGTAGGGGAAGAGGAAGAAGAGGAGGAGGAGAAGAGGAAGAGTAGGAGGAAGAGGAATAAGAGGAAGAGGAGGAGGAAGAGGATAGTAGGAGGAAGATTAGGGGGAAGAGGAGGAAGGGAAGAAGAGGAGGAGGAAGAGGAGAAGAGGAGGAGGAGGAAGAGGAAGAGTAGGAGGAAGAGGAAGAGGAGGAAGAGGAAGAGTAGGGGGAAGAGGATGAAGATGGGGGGAAAGAGGAGGAAGAGGAAGAAGAGGAGGAGGAGGGTGGAACACTGTACACTGGTACTGGTACACTAACATTTCTGTCTGTCTATTTGTCTGTCTGTCAAGCTCCCTGTCTATCTGTCTATCCGTCTAGCTCTCTGTCTCAGAGAGCCACAAGACTGTGTCATCACCTTTTACTCACATCTTCAAGCAGAGTATAGCACTTTGTCTGGATTTCTTGGGTTATCCTAGGTAATTTATTTCTATGTATACTTGTATTTATGTGTACCCGTGAGGACAGAGTAGACAGACAGATAAAAGAGAGAGACAGAAATTTAAAGAGATAGAATGAGGGAGAAAGATAAAACACCCTTGCGTATGACACCATGTTTCGAGTTCCACAAGCTGCAGAACTAATAGGGAATATGTTCAGTGACTGTATATTGGTATATATATATAGAACAATAATAATAAACAATGTTTTGTATTGTTTGTTTTTGTAAACAAGTTTTTTAAAACAAAATATTTATAATTATGTTTGTGTGCTTATTGTGTTGTATACAACGAGTGTATATATGTACATTGCACCTTACTTTGGTCTCATAGGCCACATAAGTTATGTGAAAAAATAAAATAGTGAAAAACCAGCAAACCTTCAAATACAAGTAAACTAAAGTTTACAGGGTGAGCGGCAGTCGCCGCTGTTGCCATACGCGGCTCATTTTCTGCAAACTTCATGCATCCATATCTCCGTAAGTATTGATGGTAAATTTTTTTTGTTTATCCTATAATGTTTAGAAAAAAAAACTCTATTTTTTCATAAGAAAAAATAATTTTTTTTTTTTTTGAAATTTGGCCGACCCTGAGAACGAGTTTCAGAGAGGGCCTGTCGACCCTCAAAGGGTTAAGTGTATTATTATAAATGCTTTTGTAAGTGTATTTTTGGGGTTTGAAACAGACTAATGTAATTTACATTATTCATTATGGGAACAAATTCGTTCGGTAACGACACTCGAACAGCCTTATGGAACGAATTATAGCCGAAACTTTGGGTACCACTGTAAACTGTAACAAAGACACATCTTCTTTCAACAAACCGGCTGTATCCCACTGAGGAAGGGTAGCCCAAAAGGAAAAACAAAAGCTTCTCCTTTTAAATTTAGTAATACAGTGGACCCTCAGTTAACGCCTGCATCGTATAGCACCAGAATCAGATAGCGCCTCACTTTGGCGTAAAAAAATTGGCTCGGATAACACGTAAAAACTCGGTTAGGAGCTTTTGTCCCGAACATGTCTGCACGGTGCCCTGAGCGGGCCTGGCCAGTCACCCCGTGTACCAGCCAGTGTGCCATTGTTTACAAGCCACTGAGGACAGTTCCATGCATACATGCGATATATTTTGTATTCATTGTTTTTAGTGCTTGTAACTGCTAAATAAGCCACCAGGGGCCCAAAGAAAGCTTCTAGTGCCAACCCTGTGGTAAAAAGGGTGAGGTGTACTATTGAATTGAAAAAGGAGATAATAGAAAAGTATGAGAGTGGAGTGCGTATCTCGGAGTTGGAAAAGTTATACAACAAACCCCATTCAACCATCACTACTATCTTGCGCAACAAAAAGGCAATCAAGGAAGCTGTTGTTGCAAAAGGTGCAAGTGTTATTACAAAACAGAGATTGCAATTACTCGAAGATGTGGAGAGACTGTTGTTGGTGTGAATAAACAAGAAATAATTATCAGGAGATAGTGTTTCACAGTCAGTCATATGTGAAAAGGCAAGGCAGTTGCATGAGGATCTCATTAAGAAAATGCTTCCAAATAGTGCTGCTGTTGATGAATTTAAGGCCAGCAAAGGCTGGTTTGAGAGATTTAAGAATCGTAGTGGCATACACAGTGTGATAGGGCATGGTGAGGCTGCCAGTTCTAACAAAAAAGTGGCTGAAAAATATGTGCAGGACTTTAAGGAGTACATAGACACTGAAAAATTAAAACCCCAGCAAGTGTTTAATTGTGACAAAACAGGCCTGTTTTGGAAGAAAATGCCAAACAGGACCTACATTACTCAGGAGGAAGAGGCACTCCCAGGATACAAGCCTATGAAAGACAGGCTAACTCTAATGTTGTGTAGTAATGCTAGTGGGGATTGCAAAGTGAAGCCTTTACTCATGTATCACTCTGAAACTCCCAGAGTGTTCAAGAAAAACAGTATCATCAAGACTAAATTGTGTGTGATGTGGAGAGCAAACAGTAAGGCATGGGTCACTAAATACATGTTTATTGACTGGTTCTATGACATGTTTGGCCCCACTGTGAAGCAGTACCTCCTGGAAAATAAATTGGAACTCAAGTGCCTCCTGGTAATGGACAATGCTCCTGCTCATCCTCATGACTTGCAAGAGCAAATTGCGAGGGAGTTGAGCTTCATCAAAGTGAGGTTCTTGCCTCCTAATACCACCCCTCTCCTCCAGTCCATGGACCAGCAGGTCATTTCAAATTTCAAAAAACTGTACACCAAAGCAGTGTTTCAAAAGTGCTTTGAAGTGACGCCAGACACTGAATTGACCCTAAGAGAGTTCTGGAAAGATCACTTCAGTATCCTCAGTTGCATAAGCCATATAGGTTAGGCTTGGGAGGGAGTAACTAACAGGACCTTGAACTCTGCTTGGAGAAAACTGTGGCCACAGTGTGTACAAGAGAGGGATTTTGAAGGGTTTGGGGCTGACCCTAAGGGGCCTATGCCAGTTGTGGAATCTATTGTGGCATTGGGGTTGGAGGTTAGTGATGAGGATGTGGAAGCAACAGCAACAGACCAAAGCTCAGGGATTTCCTTCAGAGGAGGAGGAAGAGAGACTGAGGAAGTTGCCTTCGTCAAAGATTAACCCTTAAACGGTCCAAACGTATATATACGTTTTTTCAACATCTGAAAGTATGTAAAAAATGTAGATCTTTTTTGGTTTACATTTGAAAACGTGTAAAAAAAACTTTTATCTACATTATTTTTTTGTTATATTTGAAAATATTTAAAAAAAAGTAGATCTACTTTTGTAGCACTATGAATTTGAACGTCGATCTGTTTGGACCGTTTAAGGGTTAAGGAAATGTGTACAATGTTTACAAAAGTGCAAGCATTTATGGATGAATATTATACTGACACAGCTGTTGCAAGCTGTATTGGCAACTTGTACAATGACACTCTTGTGGCCCATTTTAAGGAAATCTTAAAAAGGGATGCTAGAAACAGAGCTCTCTGGACAGATATTTTGTGCGACAGGGGTCCAGTGACTCTCAAGCTGGACCTAGTGGCATTAAAAATCCAAGAAGGGAGGTAACCCCAGAAAAGGACTTGTTACCTGAAGTCTTTATGGAAGGGGATTCCCCTTCCAAACAATAGAACACCTGCATCATCTGCCCTCCTACTGTCTCATCACTCATCAACAATGCCACAGTAAAGGTAAGTGTCATTTCAGCTATGTTTATTGTGCATGTAACATTGTTTTCTGTGTAGGGAAATGTATATCTCATGTAAAAAAAAATTATTTTGTTAAATACTTTTTGCTGTTTGGAATAGATTAATTGGATTTCCATTATTTCTTATGGGGAAAATTAATTCGGTTAAAAGCTAAATCAGTTAAAGTCTAGCTCTCTGGAACGGATTGAAGGCATTAACTGAGGGTCCACTGTATATACAGGGGAAAGGATTACTAGCCCCTTGCTCCCAACATTTTAGTCGCCTCTCACGACACGCTTGGGCAAAGACATATATCATCTATTTTTTTAAATATTTTCCATGTAGGAACTTGCCTAAAAGAGTTGCTTGTTTGTCTTACTCATTCTGGCAACAGTTTTTGTCCCTCCCACCTCCTTCCCTTCCTCCCTCATCCTCTGGTGTGCACGTCAACTCACACACTGAAGGACCAGTGTTTGATCCTTGGATGAGGATTAAAGCTTTGTTTGGTCATGTTTCTTTACACCTGTTGCTCGTTTCCTGGGTATTAGTTGACTGGTGAGGATTGCATCCTGGGGGGGGGGCAATATTGAGGTAGCTCAGAGGAAATAAGCCAGACAGTTTAATGACAGTGGCTTTACTGGGTTAGTAATGTTACCTCTGGGTTTATAATTTGAACAGAATCTTTTACAGCAATGATTGAAAAAATATCTAGGCACATTAATTTCAGATTTCATTTGTTGTATTGGTGTAGGGTACCTGTGATATACCAATGACCACTTTCAAGGACTCTTCTACCCCTGCAGTCCTGCCTGATACCAGGCTTCCCTCTTGACTACCTGGTCACTCAGACTGTTTGTGTTAGCTTCCAACAGGCCCACATGGCCATCGCAACCTTCGTAACTCAGTACTTGTTGCAGATGTCTGTCTTCTGCTTGAAAACTTCTATCCTCCTTCCAACAGTATCTCAAGATATTTGTTGGTAATATGCTGCAAAACCTCGCATCATGAATGTTGACACTGTCAGCATGTTTTTTTTTTATTTGTCAGTTTTTCAATTCATACTATTAAGGAAAGTGATTAATTTTTCCTAAAATATTTGCAAATAAGACACATGAGCAACACATGATGTCTAATTTATCAACTTGTCAGGTCTCAGAACCATTTATCTACACAAAATGTTTACATTTTAATGGTGGTTATGTGACACTGGTGCAGTACAGCCAGGTTTTGACACAGCTAGTTTGTTCAGGTGAGTGTGGCAGTGTTTTCACTTAACACCCATGAACATTAAAGTGAATTGCTTCATATTTAGTATGCTGCCTTCACAAATAAGAGTGGTGGAACAGTTGAATAGATTAAGAGATGAGGTAGTTCTACAGTCATCAGAAATGGATCAAATATATGATGGATTGATACCAAATATTTAACTACACATTGTGCTGGTCACTAAATCATGTTAGTGACTGTTACGACTGCTTAATTTTGTATTAAATATGCACTAAATCCTATGCTATATACAAAGGCTTTATTATAAATTTGCTATATGATCCTTCAGGTTTACCACTTAACTTTATGATGATAATAATAATAATAATAATTATAATGAATTGGTCACTACAGGTTGCGCATGAGCATGGAGGAGAATGAGGGTCTACAAATGCGACGGCGAGAGGAAGTGGTCCATGAGGGAGCTGCTGTCGTTGTTGTTGAGCAGTCCAGTAGAAGGTGAATAACCGTTGAAGATGTTGGTGGTGGTGGCAGCTGCGGCAGTGGGGGTGGTGGTGGCGGTGGCAGCAGTGATGATGGTGGTAGCAGCAGTGGTGTTGGTGGTGGCAGTAGTGATGGTGGTGATGGTTTTAAGGATAGATGTGGTAATGCCAAAGATCACATGAATCTAGGTTGTTGTTTGTGATGGTAATAGTTGTTGGTCAGATGGTACTATATGTCAGCTGCAGGTAGTAATTGTGGTGATAATGAGTTCTAGTGGTGCTAGCAATTAGCAGTGATTATAGGTGGTTGTGGTAGTTGTCTTTTCTTTTTTACTTTCATGTACAAAGTTATTTTTAATCTAGTCAAATATTTGCAATTGAAATATATGCAGTACATTATATAGTCTAGCTTAAAAAAAGTTAATTGCCCCTCACTGCAACTCTCAGTTAACACAATTACTATTACTAATATTTTGCATTTTGTAAGTTTTTAACAATTTGAGTAAAGGATAGAAGAATAATGAGAGATAAATGTCTGAGGCCTTTACAGACAGCGCACTGATGAAGAGGAGGATGGCAGGGGTGCCTGGCATGACAAGGCTCTCGGGGAGGCACCTGCAACTTCGGGCAGCGAGGAGCGAGGCTGGTTCAGAAAACGTGATAAGAGCTCTTCACGTGAGCGGGACCGCACTAGTGAAGAGCGCCAATCAGAAAAATCTCGGTGGTTCAGGAAGAGAGATAAGAGTTCACCTCGAGGCTCTGAAGACAGGAATGTCCGACGTGAAGAGTGTGAGCGGCGACAGCGCGAAAAGGCAAAAAGCAGAGAAGCTTTAGCTACAGTAGCTGATAGAAGACGAGAAGGGGACACATTAGGAAAAGGTGGAATAGTATCAGTGGAGAAAGGGGAGAAAGTGGGGCCAGGAGTGTCAAGGGAGGGGGAAGATGACTGGGTGGAACACTGCACAAATGAACACACAAGTACTCAGGAACAATTACGTGTTCCTGAACCCACAGTGCGCAGGTTATCATCGCCAGAAATTGACAATTCTGGAGTGATAACTGCTTCTTTATGTATCCCAGTTCCCTTAGGTCAAGGGGGTCCTTTATCCTTCACACAAGACACTGAAATTCCATATATTGAAGATGAAGACAAAAAAAATCGCCATAGATCTTCTCCATATAAAGCGAGTAGATCTCCACGTAGCGACGTAACTCGTCAACGATCGGGCAGCAGTGACTCTTACCTTGGGCAGCCCATCACTGGCACTATGAGCTTCCAGCCTCTCACCAAGAAGAGCGGGGATAAACAGAGCCATGACTCTGTGCTTTCATCATCCTCTGCTGATGTATTCACGTTGTCACCATCTCCTCGTAACACTCCACTTTCTGATCTTTATGCTTCAGGCACATCGTCTCCACTAAGTAGACCAGGCTCACCCCCTCATTGGCTCAGTCCAGATTCTGGAACACCAGGTCTCTCCCCTCCAAACTCTCCACCTCTACAACCAAAACGTAGAGGTGATATGCGGAACAATCCTCTCTCACATTCAGTCACTCATACCTTTGGCTCAAAACCTCCAGCCACACCATCAAAAACCAAAATTTCCCCAGTGGTTGCTTCACAAGGTCTTTTTCCAATAGGACGCTCTAAAACAGCAGACAGCATTAAAGTGGAACTTAGCCAGAGCGTCACAAGAGTTATCAGCCCTGATTCTGGTGAAAGTGGGGCAGGTAGTCGGCGGAGTAGTCGAGGGGAAGAGGCATCTCGTGAGAGCAGGGCACAAAAAGAGCCTGGAGGTCGTCGCTACATTCGCCGAAGATATACAGGAGAGCGTCACGTGACTGGTCATCTGCCTGACCTGAGTAGTGCAACTGCGATTGATGCTCAACCTTCTGGGGAAGGTCAGACTCAGCTCTGGAAGCGTTGGGAAATCATTGCATCTGACCCAACAGAGCCAGAAACATTTGTATAGCCATGGTGAATCCCTATGGCTTGTAGAGGTACATAAAACTCACAGGTAATGCATCACTGCCTATGCCACCCATAGATATTACTCAGCTGATGAATCCTCATTACCATCTAGTCATATATGAGTACATTTTCCAGGGTGATGGCGAGATAAATCTTTGCAGAAAAAAATGGAAAATGCACATGGGGAAACAAAACATATAGAATTACCAATATTCTACACATAATGTGCAGAACTTCCAGTGTTCTACACATAACAGACATCCAGGAACTGATCTAGTCATAAATTTAGTGTGTGGAAAGTGAGTGTTGGCAGACTCTCATGCAAATCATACTACTAGTAACATCTGTGAGGGTCAGTGTATATACTGTATGTGAGGATATTGTAGCCATGTGCAGATACAGTACTATATATGTGCAAATACTGTACTTATGTGCCTACACTGTACTGCAGTGCACTTACTGTAATTGTGTAAAAGTTTAATATTACATTGTGAGAAGTGTCAAGTGACATTAATTGTCAGCTGTGATGTTTGTCAAGAAAGTTGTCAAGTATGTAAGTAACTTTTGTGAGAACTTTTATATAAAACAAATGTACAATACAAAGAACAATAATATATTTCTGATGGTAAGATTGTTTCAATTACCCATGAGCTACATATATCAAAATACAAGACAGTTCCATAGTCCTTGAGAGAAGACTGACTGGTTTGTGAATGACATTGACACGCCAACCAATGTTGACACACCAACCAGTGTTGACACACCAACCAGTGTTGACACACCAACCAATGTTGACACACCAACTAATGTTGACACACCAAACAACGTTGACACACCAACCAATGTTGACACACCAACCACTGTTGACACACCAACCATTGTTGACACACCAACATGCACCTCTCAGTACCTAACACTAAAACTCATCACCTAATACTGTACAACTCATCACCTAACAATACGCAACTCATCACCTAACATGTACAACTCATCACCTAATACTGTACAACTCATTACCTAACACTGTACAACTCATCACCTAATACAGTGGACCTCCGACGTACAATGTCCCCAACCTACGTTAAAACTGACCTACGATGCTTTTCAGCGTTAAAATTCGACCCCGACGTACATTGAAAAACTCGACCTACAGCATTCGTCCAGTACGTGTCCACTTGTCTGTCCGCCTGAGCGCGCCTCAGATGGCCTGCCTTCAGTTAGTGTGCCAATGTTTACAAGCCAAAGCGGTCGCTCCCAAGCATACATTCAGAATATTTTGTATTATTCCATTGTTTTAGTCTTCTAACTGCTAAATAAGCCACCATGAGCCCAAAGAAAGCTTCTAGTGCCAACCTTGTGGTAAAAAGGGGGAAGAAATACATGTATTATCGAAATACTATCGTACCATGGTCAGCTGCTGCTGCTGCTGCTGTTGCTGCTGCTGTAGCACCATTGTAGGTGTGGCTTATCGAGAATACCAAGAAATAATTAACCCCAGAGGGTTAACCGCCCAGGATAACCCAAGAAAGTCGGTGTGTCATCGAGGACTGTCTAACTTATTTCCATTGGTGTCCTTAATCTTGTCTCCCAGGATGCAACCCACACCAATCGACTAACACTGACATGAACAGGAAAAAATGCCTGGAACTAGTGCTCATATTGGTGAATTTAAGGTCAGCAAAGGTTGGTTTGAGAGATTTAAGAATCGTAGTGGCATACACAGTGTGATAAGGCCTGTTCTGGAAGAAAATGCCAAACAGGACCTGCATTACTCAGGAGGAAAAGGCACTCCCAGGACACTGTGTCTCATCGGTCATTGCTCCAGCTTCAATAAAGGTAAGTGTCATTTATTCTTCATTTAGTAGAGTAGTACATGTGGTAAACGTAATGTGGTAAAAAAAATTTTTCATGCTTTTGGGTGTCTTGCACGGATTCATTTGTTTTCCATTATTTCTTATGGGGAAAATTAATTCAAGCTACGATCATTTCATCATACAATGAGCTCTCAGGAACGGATTAATATCATAAGTCGGGGGTCCACTGTACTGCGCAACTCATCACCTAACACTGTACAACTCATCACCTAACACTACAACTCATCATCTAACACTGTACAACTCATCATCAAACACTATTCAACACATGAGGGGAAGGTGTCAACGCTACTCAATGGGCTTTTAATCTGTAGACCTACAACTACCTTCATTTTCCTTGGATCAAACATGATTACTTTTCATACCCAACATACTGTAGCATACAGTGTTACCACCGTCACCACCACTATAACAGTATTAGCACCGCTACCACCACTATAACAGTGTTAACACCGTCACCACCACTATAACAGTGTTAACACCGTCACCACCACTATAACAGTATTAGCACCATCACCACCACTATAACAATGTTAACACTGTCACCACCACTATAACAGTGTTAACACCGTCACCACCACTATAACTGTTAACACCGTCACCACCACTATAACAGCATTACCACCATCACACCACTATAACAGCATTAACACCGTCACCACCACTGTAACAGTGTTAACACCATCACCACCACTATAACAGTGTTAACACCGTCATCACCACTATAACTGTTAACACCATCACCAGCACTATAACAGCATTAACACCATCACCACCACTATAACAGTGTTACCACCATCACCACCACTATAACAGTGTTAACACCATCATCACCACTATAACAGTGTTACCACTGTCATCACCACTATAACAGTGTTACCACCGTCACCACCACTATAACAGTGTTAACACCGTCACCACCACTATAACAGTGTTACCACCGTCACCACCACTGTAACAGTGTTAGCACCGTCACAATCACTATAACAGTGTTAACACTGTCACCACCACTATAACAATATTAACATCGTCACCACCACTATAAGAATGTTAACATTGTCACCACCACTATAACAATGTTAACATCGTCACCACCAATATAACAATATTAACATCGTCACCACCAATATAACAATGTTAACATCGTCACCTCCAATATAACAATGTTAACATCATCACCACCACTATAACAGTGTTAACATCATCACCACCACTATAACAATGTTAACATCGTCACCACCAATATAACAATGTTAACATCGTCACCTCCAATATAACAATGTTAACATCATCACCACCACTATAACAGTGTTAACATCATCACCACCACTATAACAATGTTAACATCGTCACCACCAATATAACAATGTTAACATTGTCACCACCAATATAACAATGTTAACACTTCAGCTTCAGTTATCTATAACACGACTCATCTATCCAGTGCACCAGTGAGTTCTAAACCCACATGGGGCGTCCAACAAAAGTGTCTGACCTGCACAGGTTATTCTACAAGTCTTCAGGTCACTTTTCTCTCTCAGGTAAATTATATAAGACTTTAACAACCTCTAATTTAATTAAACAAATTACAACTTTTTAACAAAATGTATAAATATTAACATATAAGAACTATCTTTAACGCACATAACTGTAACATCGTCAAACATCCATATGTGTATGTATATATGTATGTGTGTATGTATGTATGTGTGTATGTATGTATGTATGTGTGAATGTATGTATGTGTGTATGTATGTATGTATGTATGTACGTATGTTTGTGTGTATGTACGTACGTATGTATGTACGTATGTATGTATGTACGTACGTATATGTATGTATGTACGTACGTATGTATGTATGTATGTACGTACGTATGTATGTACGTACGTATGTATGTATGTACGTACGTATGTATGTATGTACGTACATATGTATATATGTATGTACGTACGTATGTATGTACGTACGTATGTATGTATGTACATACGTATGTATGTACGTATGTATGTATGTACGTACGTATGTATGTATGTATGTAAGTACGTATGCATGTACGTACGTATGTATGTACGTATGTATGTATGTACGTACGTATGTATGTATGTACGTACATATGTATGTACGTACGTATGTATGTACGTACGTATGTATGTATGTACGTACGTATGTATGTATGTACGTACGTATGTATGTATGTACGTACGTATGTATGTACGTACGTATGTATGTACGTACGTATGTATGTATGTACGTACATATGTATGTACGTACATATGTATGTATGTATGTACGTACGTATGTATGTATGTATGTTTAGAAAGACACGTAAGCAAACACTATAACATATTTATTAGAAAACGTTTCGGTCCTGGGACCTTGATCACTTCTAACATACAGAGGTAGAAAGACATTATATATAGGCGGAGAGTGAGATGTGACGCACGTGACCTGAGGAATGTCATAAGAACATAAGAATGGAGGAACACTGTAGAAGGCCTACTGGCCCATGCGAGGCAGGTCCTTATCAAAAACCTCTGCCTATGATGAGGACGGGTAGACGATGAAATCATGTGACTCCTGTGTTGTTGGGTTGATGCTGCTTAAGTATCATGTATGCCAATGTTTTTGAAATTTTGTAGTTTCCAGTGTTGCGTTCTATAGTGTCGGTGATGGTGATTAGTGAGGCTTCTAGGCACCGTCGGCGTCTGAGGTCTGGTTTGGTGAGAACGAGTTGTGCCTCATTCCAGTTCATCAAATGCCCCGTGGAGTCTCTGTGGAGGACACATGCGTACCTTACATCGTCTCTGTTAGAGGCATTTCGATGCTCATTCAGGCGGACTGCAAGATCTCTGCCTGTCTCGCCTACATATTTCTTGGGACAGAACCCACAGGGGATAGTGTAGATGCCTGCTGTAGAAGTTAGGGTTGTGGGGCTGTGTTTCATAGTGAGGTCTTTGATAGATGATGTGTTTATGGTGGAAACGTTGATGTTACTCGTAGCAAGTGCCCTGCGAGTATTCGTGGCAACATCGCCACATGGGAGTACTATGAACTGTTTAGGGGGCTGTTCCATGGGCGGTTTGTTGAGGATAGCTTGTGCCTTGAGTCTGCAATCTCGGATGAAGAAAGATGGGAACTGAAGACGTGTAAAGGCTTGTGTTATGTAAGTGCATTCTTCTTCTAGAAAACAAGGGCTGGAGATGCGAAGAGCTCTCAAGAAGAAGCCAATGAGGACTACTCTCTTAGTGCGGGTGTCTTGGTGTGAATAAAAGTGTATAAGATCGTCCTTGTTGGTAGGTTTCCTATACACTTTGAAGAGAAGTTTGTCACTGTCGGGAGATCTGCACAGTAGAACGTCGAGGAAAGGAAGTTTGCCATCATTTTCGAGTTCAAGTGTAAACTTTATTGATGGTTCAACTGCATTGATCTTGTTGAGAAGGGCCTGGATATTCAGACGTCTCGGATAGAAAACCAATATATCATCAACGTATCTTAGCCAGGTAACGGTGTTGAGAATGAGGGTGCTGAATTTCTCTGTCTCCAGGTTTTCCATGAAGAGGTTGGCAAGCACAGCACTGAGGAATTTCTTGCCTTTGTTTCAATCCGTCGTTCCCAAGTTCTTCAAGATGGATTGTCATTTTCAGAGGTTCGTTGTCTTGGACGAGAAGAAGAGCATCATTCGAATGTCGAAGAAAAAGCTAAATGCTATGGAAGATTATGAAATTTGCCTTGAAAGATATGTACTAATTAGAAATACTCTCAGGAAAGTTATATTTGCAGAAAACAATTGCACTTCTGCTAACGTTTTCCACAAATCTTCAACTTTGGCAGAAAGTCTTCGAGATGTGGCACAAACACAATTCACAATATTTATGGATTCTTGATTGATGCTTCATCATTCTCCATATAAAATACAGAAACAATGATAACTAACTTCATTTTCATAAAGTATACAGAGTGTGAAACCAGAAATTTTTTGGACTTCTTTGCTTGGTATAAGCCCTTAACTTAATCAATGTATGTTAGAAGTGATCAAGGTCCCAGGACCGAAACGTTTTCTAATGAATATGTTATAGTGTTTGCTTACGTGTCTTTCTAAACCAACTTGTCGGTATTTATTACCAAGGTTTATACCATGTATGTACGTACATATGTATGTACGTATGTGTCGTACTAAGACAAATTTGCCTAACAGGTCCAACTCCCCTAAAAATTAAACTGTTTCAATTTTTCTTTATTTTTTTTTTTACAGACTGATAGCTATTTTTTTCATTAACAATGATATAATTATTTTTTTTTTTGGGGGGGGGAACAAAATTTAGACCCCTGACCTGACCTCCGTAAAACTAACACAATGTGTATCACTGAACAACTTAAATATATTTAATATTACATTAAATCTATGATATACATTTTTTTTTCGTTATGCTCAGATCGATTTCAGCCGATTTATGGCAAAAATAAATTTTAATTCTGCTTATTCGGCAAAATGAACCTTTGTTAAATATATCAGACTGGTCGATTCAGCTTATTAGACACGACATACATACATACATACATACATACATACATACATACATACATACATATATATATATATATAAAATATATATATATATATAATATATATATATATATATAATTATATATATATATATATAAATATATTACAGTGGACCCCGCATACCGTACGCACGCATACCATACAATCCGCATACCGCTCGCTTTTATCGCAAAAATTTTGCCTCGCATACCGCCCAAAAACCCGCTCACCGCTCTTCGTCCGAGACGCGTCCAATGTGCGCCCTCAGCAGCCTCACATGTTCCGCCGGTGGCATTGTTTACCAGCCAGCCTCCGCGGTAACATCCAAGCATACAATCGGAATATTTTGTATTATTACAGAGTTTTCGGTGCTTTATCTGGAAAATAAGTGACCATGGGCCCCAAGAAAGCTTCTAGTGCCAACCCTACAGCAATAAGGGTGAGAATTCCAATAGAGATGAAGAAAGAGATCATTGATAAGTATGAAAGTGAGTGCGTGTCGCCGACCTGGTCAGGTTGTACAAGAAACCCAAATCAACCATCGCTACTATTGTGGGCAACAGAAAGGCAATCAAGGAAGCTGTTCTTGCCAAAGGTTTAACTGTGTTTTCGAAACAGAGATCGCAAGTGATGGAAGATGTTGAGAGACTCTTATTGGTGTGGATAAATGAAAAACAGCTAGCAGGAGATAGCGTCTCTCAAGCGATCATAAGCGAAAAGGCTAGGAAGTTGCATGAGGATTTAATTAAAAAAATGCCTGCAACTAGTTGATGATGTGAGTGAATTTAAGGCCAGCAAAGGTTGGTTTGAGAGATTTAAGAAGCGTAGTGGCATACATAGTGTGATAAGCATGGTGAGGCTGCCAGTTCGGACCACAAAGCAGCTGAAAATATGTGCAGGAATTCAAGAAGTACATAGACAGTGAAGGACTGAAACCTGAACAAGTGTTTAATTGTGATTTAAACAGGCCTGTTTTGGAAGAAAATGCCAAGCAGGACCTACATTACTCAGGAGGAAAAGGCACTCCCAGGACATAAGCCTATGAAAGACAGGCTTACTTTGTTGATGTGTTCCAATGCTAGTGGTGATTGCAAAGTGAAGCCTTTATAGTGTATCACTCTGAAACTCCCAGACCGTTCAGGCAAAAGAATGTCCTCAAGGAGAATTTGTGTGTGCTGTGGAGGGCAAACAGTAAGGCATTGGGTCACTAGGGACTTTTCTATGACTGGTTACACCATGCATTTGCCCCAATGTGAAAGATTACCTAACTGAAAAGAAATTAGAACTTAAGTGCCTCCTGGTGTTAGACAATGCCCCTGGTCATCTACAGACGTGGCAGAGCGACTTTATGGGGACATGAAAAATTCATTAAGGTGAAGTTTTTGCCTCCTAATACCCCCTCCTCTCCTGCAGCCCATGGACCAGCAGGTTATTGCAAACTTCAAAAAACTGTACACAAAAGCTCTGTTTTTAAGGTGCTTTGTAGTGACCTCAGAACTCAACTGACTCTAAGAGAGTTTTTGGAGAGATCACTTTAATATCCTCAATTGTGTAAACCTTATAGGTAAGGCTTAGGAGGGAGTGACTAAGAAGACCTTGAACTCTGCTTGGAAGAAACTGTGGCCAGAATGTGTAGACAAAAGGGATTTTGAAGGGTTTGAGGCTATCCCCGAGAGGATTATGCCAGTTGAGGAATCCATTGTGGCATTGGGAAAGTCCTTAGGGTTGGAGGTTGTGGGGATGATGTGGAAGAGTTGGTGGAGGAGGACAATGAAGAACTAACCACTGATGAGCTGATAGATCAAAATTCAACAGCAAGAGGCCAGACCTGAGGAAACTGGTTCAGAGGAGGGGAGAGAGAAATTGAAGAAGTTGCCTACTACAAAGATTAAGGAAATCTGTGCAAAGTGGCTTGAAGTGCAAACCTTCATGGATGAAAATCACCCTCACACAGCTATTGCAAGCCGTGCTGGTGATTATTACACTGACAATGTTGTGAAACACTTTAGGGAAGTCATAAAGGAACGAGAGGTACAGGCCACTATCGACAGATATGTTGTGCGAAAGAAGTCCAGTGACTCTGAAGCTGGTCCTAGTGGCATTAAAAGAAGAGGAAGTAACCCCAGAAAAGGACTCGACACCTCAAGTCTTAATGGAAGGGGATTCCCCTTCTAAACACTAACACTCTCTCTCCCCTCCTCCCATCCCATCAATCATCACCAGATCTTCAATAAAAGTAAGTGTCATGTAATTGTGCATGCCTTTTTCAGTTTGTGTGTATTAAAATTAACATTTCATGTGGTAAAAAATTTTCTTTTTCATACTTTTGGGTGTCTTGCACGGATTAATTTGATTTCCATTATTTCTTATGGGGAAAATTCATTCGCATACCGAACATTTCGCATAACAACCAGCCCTCTTGCATGGATTAAAGTCGCTATGCGGGGGTCCACTGTATATAATATATATATATAATATATATATATATATATAATATATATATATATATATATATATATAATATATATATATATATATATGTTTATGGCCGAATAGGTAAAATTGGTCAATTAGCAAAGACTCATTTAAAATTAGGTCTTTTCTGAAATTTTATCTTATACATTTAAAGATATACTTTTTCACTTATATTAGTGTAAAAAATTAATAATTTTGTACCAAGAGAACCATAGAAAACTGACCTAACAAAGCGCAATTTAATTTAGCCTAATTCAACTAAATATATTTTAGATAGGTTTACAGTAATTTAATAACAAACAAATATAATGAAATATATTTTTTTCGTTAGATTCAGAATGATTTTTTTGCGAAATTATTGAACACACAAAATTTTGCTTGTCTTATTCGGCAAGAAGAGCATTGCTATTTAACCCAAAAGTGCAAATTTTACCTATTCGGCACTATATATATATATATATATATATATATATTATATATATATATATAAAATATATATATATATATATATATATATATATATATATATATAATATATATATATATATAATATATATACACACAATTACAAAATAAGTTAAAATATATTTATAAATAATAAACATTTCCTGAATATGGCAGACCAAGGGAGATTCAATGATGGTAGTACACACACACACACACACACACACACACACACACACACACACACAAAACATCAACATGTTAAATTTTCAACAATGACAGTAAATAAAGTCCACCATCTTGATCTCCCACTGAGCCGAAGTTGTGTCACATCTGGAAAAGAAAAAAAATATTAGAGAGAATACTGTGTGAGGTTAGTGCACTAGTTAACCACAGTGATGAGTGTGGCTATATGTGTATATCTCTAATATTAACTTTGCCATTTACTATCAGAGAGCAGGACATTAACTGTAGGAGAGAGGTTAGGTGTAATGTCTACCCTGAGGTCTGTGTCTATGCTTGAATATGTCTCATGGCACTTTTTCATTTCCCTTCTTCATTGCTTTTTCATTACATGACTTTTCCTGGAATGGGATGAGCTCTTGCTCATGTTACATCTACTCCTGAAGCCGTGTTTGTCATGCTTGTACCTTCTCTTAAAAACATAAGAATTAAGCAATACAGCAGTAGTCGTATTGGCCCATGCTAGGCACCTCGAAGTCACTCCCACTCACATTCCCCTTCACTTGTATTTAATTACCCGATCTTCTCGCGTTCACTTTGCCGCCCGGAACTTTTTTCCATCCTTCTGCAACTCTAGTACCTAACTAGCACTTTCCTATATTCTTTCTAAATCCAAATTCGTCCAGTTTTAATCCACTGTTGAGTCTTGTCTCCGCTAGATGCTCTCAACACGTTATATTTCCTTTATTTATTCCTGTTTTCAATTTGTACACTTCAATCATATCTCCCGTACTTCTACTCATTTCTAAAGTGTACAAGTTCAGTGTTTTCAGTCTGTTATCATTGGAAAGTTATATCGTAAATGGAATCAGCTTGATTATCTTTATATATTTTCGAGAACCTATATGTCCATCCTGTAATATGGAGACCAGAACTGTGCATCATAATCTAAGCGACGTCTAACTAAACATACATAAAGTTTAAGTGCGTATAATCTTAGGACTTCTTTTGTTTATACTTCTTGAAAAGAAGCCAAGAATTCTATTAGCTTCATTGCGAACATTTATGCAATGATCTCCTGGCTTTAATTTTCTGCTGCCCTCAACTCTTAAATCTTTATTACATTAGCTTCAACTAATATTTCCATTATTTAGTTTAGAAATGTCAGTGTTATTTTCTTTTCCAGGAGTGACTGCAACATCAGATCACCCAGGTCATCTTACACTTCTCTAGCGACTTATCACAAATTATCTGACAACCTGTTTTAACCTCAACTGCAAACTTATTTGTAGATGAGAGAATTAATGACATGTGCATGTAGACTATGAGCAACAAGGGTCCCAGTACTGACCCTTGTGGCACCACACTTGTAACCGGTTTCCATTCTGATTTCTCCCCATTGATTCCACAATGTTGTCTCTCTGTCGTATCATGTAGTGCTACTTTCTTCATCCATCCATTATGTGGAACTTAATCAACAGTCTTATTCGGGTATATTATGCATAAAATCTTATTCTTCATTCGTCCAGTGTGTGTGTGTGTGTGTGTGTGTGTACTAAATTGTGGTTGCAGGGGTCGATACTCGGCTCCTGGCCCCACCTCTTCACTGATCGCTACTAGGTCATCTCTCTCTGCTTTGTCATACCTCGTCTTACGCTATGTATGGTTCCTGCCTCCATTACGTCACTTGCTAGGTTATTCCACTTCCTGACAACTCTATGACTGAAAAAATGCTTCCTAACATCCCTGTGACTCGTCTGAGTCTTCAGTTTCTAATTGTGACCCCTAGTTTCAGTGTCCCCTCTCTGGAACATCCTGTCTCTGTCCACCTTATCTATTCCACGCAATATTTTGTATGTCCTTATCATGTCTTCCCTGAACCTCCTGTCTTCCAGTGTCGTCAGGCCGATTTCCCTCAACCTTTCTTTGTAGGACATTCCCCTGAGCTCCGGAACTAACCTTGTTACAAATCTTTGCACTTTCTCTAATTTCTTGATGTGCTTGACCAGGTGTAGGTTCCAAAATGGTGCTGTATACTCCTGTTGCAACCCCTGAATGGGTTGCAATGATTATTATGTATATATATAATTATTACCTTTTCATTTAATTTTATATTGCTTATATTTGCGATAATAGCTAAATCGTAAATGTATTGCTTTATATTGTTATTTGACGTAGCTTCCTTTGTTAGGTAGGATGTAACATATTATGTGCTCAGTTCAAGTCTTGATTGTCTAACTACTCTAATTATCGCTCTTTGCTTGTTTCCCTACCGGCTTCTTGTTGGGCAGCGACTGCAACCCACGGAGCTATCACGTGATCGAGGGGGGGGGTGTCCTCACCTCGCCAGAAGTATTCAGTCTGCTCTAGACTCGCTTGGTGGTTGGACAAATTGTCTGTCTCATTATTCTTGTTAGTTCTGTAGAACTCTGTTCACAGAACATTGTATAGACTTAGTGATTTTTGACGTTGTACTGAGGTTGTGTGTCTCATAGACACTCTGAGTAACTCAGGTCCTGAACTATAGCTTATGACCTAATTTGTACTGGTTTCTGTGTATTATCACAGTCGGGGATTTTCTTATGCTGAACTTAGATTCAGTAGTATGGGAGTTTTGTAACTTTTGTGGAGGATCTGCTGATGGTCCCTACTTAGTGTTGTTATATTATCTCCTTTTTCCTGATTCTGTGTCGCAGTTGCTTGTTGTATTGCTATTGGGCTTTAGCATTCTTTTTGTTGTTCAAGCAGACTGTTCTGGTTGCCAGTCGGTCAAGAAGTTAGTTTATTTGAGGACTTTGTCAGTCACTTGCTTAAGTCTAGTCGAGTCGTGAGACAGAGAACTACTTAGAGCACTTACACACATACATACTTACTTGTACATATTTGTAATATCTTATTAAATGTTAATGTACCAGACGGTACTTAAGAATTATAAATGTGATATGTGCTTTCAGCACAATAATATTGAACTCGAGAGATGTGATATTATTTTGATTACAGTGATTAATTAAATTTAATTTAATTTGATAATATACCTCTAGACTTAATAAATTTATTAAATTTTAATTTCTCTAGTTAGTAGCCTACCAGTTGTAATCCTGAAGCACTATTGAATAATACTGAATTCTAATGGGTAATTGGACAAGGATACTGACTACTTGTTAGGAAAACCCAGTAACAGGCTGGATGCTAGAAGGTCAGTCCTTTCTAGTATTCACTGGAGATCTCTAAGCTTTTAGAATCGCGTTTTTTGTAACAAATGGGGGCCTGTCCAGGATGCTCTTGATCCAAGGTGTTGGAGAAATTGTCCAGTTTGACATACTAGTAACTCTATGATCAAACACTTTGAGTACTTTCCTAATCTGAAGACTTTGAGTTTTTGTCTTGTACAACATACCAGGTGGATGTATGTACCTGACTGAGTCTCTTGATCCAAGGAGATGGAAATACTGTTTATGAGCTCTAACTCTAAGACAACCAACACTAAAATTCCTATCAGGATTATAATTTCCCATAATCACTCTCTCGTAGTACATTTATTTTCGTGATGTATGCCAAAGTGAAACAGTTAATTGATACTCTGACTTTGTCTGAGTTGAGTACATTAAAACTTCAGACGTGTTGGCGAGTAGCCAAATATCTCGGTGTGACGTATAACAGGAATTACACCGCAGAAACTGTCAAAGGGTTAATTAAAGATATATTGTTTCCTGCTCATACAGAGATGTCTGATTATGATTCAGATTCAGAAAGCCTAGTGTCACAATTAGAAAGTATGACTAAGCCTCACGCTAGTACAGTGTATGCTACACCTGTATCTACTTATCCTAGACCAGATCTAGACTCTCTAGAGATGGCTGGACGAAGTGTCCGACCTAAGGACCGTCCAGACCACGTTAATTTCCCTACTCCTCCATTACCCACTGGTCCTATCTCTCAGGAACAGTTTGAAAGGTTGGAACGCCTCATTATGTTGCAGACTGCACAAATAGAGGCACAGAGGAAATTGAACGAAGAAGATTTCCAAAGAGAAAATGTTCGTCTGGGAAGACAACAGACTTGATAGATCACAGGACACATTTAATGTGCAGAAAGCTGCATCAATGGTTCCTAAGTTTTTTGAAAGTGACTTAGACACCTATTTTGATGTGTTTGAGAACCAGGCTCGTGCTATGAACTGGCCACGTAAGCACTGGGCAACTTTGTTGCACACAGCTTTGACAGGAAGAGCTTTAAACTGTACTGCTGCTTTAACCATTTGCCAGTACATTAGTTATGACGCTGTCAAGCAAACTATTCTAGAGACATATAACTTGTTGCCTGTAGGTTATCAAAGAGCATTTCGTATGTTACAACGACGACAAGATCAAACTTATGTAGAGTTTGCTCGTGAGAAAAAAGTTGCATTTGAGAAGTGGTCTAAAGCTGCTAAATGTAACAACTACAACAGCCTTGTTCAGTTGTTACTACACGAAGAGTTTTAACACAACTGTAATGCCTGTGACATACAAGAATATCTGATCGATCATACTACCTCGGATATTCTGGAAACTGCAGCATTAGCAGACAATTACGAGATTTCTCACAAACTTGTACGTACTAAAACACAAAGAAACAATGTAACTAAAGATTGTCCTGGAAGTTGGCAACCTAAATCAGCTGCTCATTGCCGGCCTGATGTATCTGCTACTGTAACTTCTCGTACCTTTACCAGGAAAACTCACAATCCTGAATCTGTCTCTGTGGCTAGACAGAAATCTGATATCGAGAAGAAGAAAGTTAAATGTACATATTGTAACAGAAAAGGACATGCTAGAGAGTATTGCTATAAGTTAGAAAGAGATACGAGAAGCAGTCGTGCGGCTGGCGCCCCCACTCAAGTCGTATCTTCTTCCGAGCAACAAAGACACCAAAATCCTAGTAATACCTCTGATCCTACTGTTTTAGATAATGTTACTCAGGATAGATGACTAGCGTCAGAAAGTATATCTGACGAAAAGATTCGTTCAGCGATGAGTCCTTACTTTTCAAGAGGTAGAATAGGATTTGACGAATCACATCTGACTGAGATAATTACTTTCAGAGACACTGGCAGTTATCTCACGTTATTAAGAGAAGATGTACTGCCCATAACTGATGATAACCTATTG